AGTCTCCCCCCAGGATCCAGTCTCCTTGGTTGAGACTCTTGGAGTGGCTGATAGCATCCCATAATTGTTTTCTCTCCTCCCTTGTATGTTTACCATAGATTCCTGAGTATAGGAGGTCTTTGTTTGTTTATTTGCAGTGGAAGAGGATATTGAGCATTTGACCCATGTCACTGTGATTCTTGTAGGTAATGATGATTTTGCCACATGATCCAGATTCTATTGCTGGAGCTAGAGATGGAATTGGAAAAACCAAGTTATAGCTGAAACTTGATTAGCTTGTCTGAGGAGGCCTTGGGTTCTATGATGGTAGGAATGTTGACTTTTTGTTTAGTAACTAGAAGGGATAGCCTTTCTTTGTTGGAAACAATCCCACAGAGGTTCCAATAGAGGCAATTCATTGATGACTAGTTTGGGAGGAACTATTTGTTATTGATTTCTTAATAAGCCTTTTTTATTTTCTTGTTGTAACAGTGGTGAAGCCATCATTGGTTTGTCTGATATTTAGTTCTTCCTGATGGTGGGTGGGGGGTTCAGTGTTTTGTTGGGAAATCTGGGGAGTTTCTGTGTCACTCAAGTAGTTAACTGTGTATTTGGATTGAGGGTCTTGTATCTGGGAGTCATCTTTGGAAGGGCTTAGTTTATTTTCCATTGTTGTGGTGCATATGTTGGAAATGTCCTTCATTAAGGCTTCTAGGAGTTCTCTATCTGATGGTGAAAAAAGAGGGTTAATGGGTTTGGTGTGGGTTTTGATGAAGGTGAGTTCAGGGGAGGTGGGACTGGGAGGAATATGGGTGCTGAATGGGGAGTTGAGTGTTTTGGTTGAGGGAGAGGGTGGGTTTTGAGTGGGGTCAATTTCTGGTTCATTGATTTTAGACATGGTGTTTTTTTCCTATATGGGGTTATTGTGTGGTGGGGGCTGGCTAAGAGGTTCAGGGGTTCGGTTTATTATTAAAGGGTTGGTTGGCTTTGGTGGGGTATGGGTGTTTTGGATTGTACTTGTTGTGGGTATATCACTTGTTTGTCAGACTGAGGGAGCAAAAGTGGGGTTAGTAGCAGGCTGAGGTGTTTGGGTGTTTTTGGGTGCTTTCTTCTGGAAGATAGTAACTGTATTATGCCTAGGATCTTTAGGAATATTCCGGCCAAGTTTTTGAGGTTCCGGCAAGGGGTTTGGGAGGAGAGTTTAATTGTTTTTAAGGGAAGAACATTCTCCACTCTGCCTGGATATTCCCTTGCAGGTGTGGCAGAATAATGGTAGGTCTTCATAGATGGCTTCTAGGGAGAGCTGTTGGTTACCATTTTGGATGTAAAATTTTGAAATTTGTGGATGAGAGATATCAACTTCAACACAAATCCTGGCCAGGGATGGTCTTCCAAAACTCTCAGTAGTGGTGTATAATTTGATGGGGTCCCCAAAAATTTGCTAAATTCTGTGTAGGGAATCCTGTGAGTGAAGGTGAATGGGGCGGTTTTTGATGCCTATCCAAATTGGCATGATGGGGGACTCTACTTTGGGATCAAAGGTTGGAGTCCATTTTGCAACCAGCATTTTAAAAGACCCCAGGTTCCATTCCCTTCTTTTAAAACACCTATGGTATTCATCTTGTGATGAGAAATTGATAAGGACATGGGTGGAGTCAATAAGGGTGACAGAGAAGGTTGTGAATCCAATTCTCTCCAGGCTCTGTCTAACAAATTCAAGACTTGGTCTCCCAAAGAAGAAAGACCCTACTAAGGCCTTAGAGATTCTTGAGGCCAGTAGGGTGACTTCTTCCTCTGAAAAGGAGATGCAAGGAAGACCTTTGAGACGTTCAACTGGTTTGAGAGGGAGAGGAGGGATTGTTACCTGTTGTGATGAAGTAACCATTGCTGCAGCATAACTTTTTCTCTGATATTGTTGGTCCCTTCCGAGTAGGTGTTTCTGAGGTTGGGAGCTGGCTTGTTGGAGGTCTGGGCTGCTGAAGAAGAGGCATATTTGAAAGGCAGTTGGTTGGGTGCTGTTGCTTGAAGATTGGGAGCGCAGGATGCAGAGGTTGGAATGTGGCCGGAGCCAGCACCTGAGGAGGTCGCCGGCATTGCTAGAGGGAGCTCCGTAGCTAGAGAGAGAAATATATATATATATATATATATATGATGGCTGAGTTTCTAAAGAGAAGGAGGAGCGGCGATAATGTATTTCCTTATTACCGGCGATCGGATCGTCGATTTACACAGCCTAACCTTATTACCGGCGACCGGATCGTCGTATATCCCATTACGCTTGGGAAAAAAAATGTCTAGAGAGAGAAAAAATGAACCGGCGACTGTCGCCGGAATCCACAATCGGAAAAAACTATTTTCAGAAGTATTGAAATCCCTTAAGGAAGAAGAAAAATTACAAGGTGCTGTTCAAGGTACATTCAAGGGATGCCCATCAGTTTCATTTACAATTGAAGATATCAAAGTACTATCAAAGAGATTCTCCTTTGCTTTGATTGGAACATTCTTGAGGCGTCCTCCATATCCAGTGATGAACAACTTCCTACAAAAACTTGGCCTCCGAGGGAAATTCACGTTGGGGAAACTCTCACAAAACCAGGTACTCATCAACTTTCAACTTGAAGAAGATTATCAAAGAGTTTTTTTCAGGCAAACTTGGCTGGTGGGTAATCAACTTATGGTGGTTACCAAGTGGACTCCTGATCACATTGAGGGAGCAGATTGTCCTA